GGAGGAGGAGGAAGAACGTGGGATCCTAGGTGCTCTCTGAGCTGTGTTGTTTTCTTGCTGAAGTTTCATGACCCAGCTAGGTAACATCATCAGTGCTGGGAGTGGGAGACAACAACAACTGGGGGGTCTTTAGTGCTCTTTGCGCTTAGTTGTTTTCTTGCAGACATTTCATGACCCAACTTAGAAACATCACTGGTGATAGAAGGCTCTGTGGAATGTTCTTCCCCTCCCTTCTAACACTGAAGGTGTTACCTAGTTGGGTCACGAGACGTCTGCAAGAAAACCACCCAGCTCAGCTGTCCATGGAGATTCTCCATGCTCCAGGTCATCGTTATCCCAAAGGCGCTTTTTTTTTCACGAGGCAACTGGACTTTCCTTCTTCGAAGACGTTTCGCTCCTCATCTAAGAAGCTTCTTCAGCTCTGCGCTGAAGAAGCTTCCGAGAGGAGAAGCAACACGTCTTCAAAACAAACAAACAAGGAAGTTTAGTTGCTTCCTGAAAAAAAAAAACCGCCTGAGGGACAACTGATCTCAGAGAGTAGTTCTCTAGAAGTATATGGCCAAAGGAACACCGGATAGACTCTAAAACTCAGCCCTAGAAATTCTCATTTATTCTCCAGTAATCGTCTCGTTCCAATTTCTTCTTGTAACCAAGTCCAGGCGATGAACAAACCCTCATTCTAGGTTTCCTGCTGCTTCCTTTGCAGTCTTGCTTCTCTCCTGAGTTTCTGGGGCAGCAGAGGATAACAAACACAACAGCTACTTGGAGGGGTGTGTCTCTTTGTGTGTGTGTGTGTTGTATTTCTTTCTTTGGGGGGTGGAGGCCCCTCCACCTTGACGTTCCACAAAAAGCAACCTGCAAATTAAGTGCTGCTAAACTTTCCGCGCCTCGTCCCTTTCTGCAAACCGCGAAGAGCTGGCATTTTAAAAAAAACACAAAATATAAATACTGTACAAAGTACAAGGCTTGGGGGGGGGGCTGTAACCCTCTCCTCCTCGCTCCCTGATGCCCCGGTGAGGAAGCACCAAGGAAAATGCAACGGTCAGGATTTGGTAGGCCTGCTCTGTATGGCAACTCTCCCGGGTTTTTCCCAACCTGGGCAATTTTAAGATGGGTGGATTTCAACTCCCAGAATTCCTGAGCCAGCATGCGGGAAACTTTGGCCCCTTCATGACTCATGGACTTCAACTCCCAGAATTCCTCAGCCAGCATGGAGGAACTATGGCCCCCTCATGACTCGTGGACTTCAACTCCCAGAATTCCTGAGCCAGCATGGCTCAGCTTGGAAACCTCTCCCTTTCCCCTCAGCATGGCTGGCTCAGGAATTCTGGGAGTTGAAGTCCACGAGTCATAAAAGAGCCAAGGTTGCCTACCCCTGGTATAGAGGGTTTCCTACAAGAGCAAGGGGTTGGACTAGAAGATCTCTAAGGACCCTTCCAGCTGTTATTCTATTGTTCTGACTTCCGCTCCCAGCATTCTCCAGGTGGCCAGGGAATTCTGGGAGCTGAAGCCCACCGGTTTTAAAATTACCCAGGTTGAGAGAAACCAACCGGTCCAAACCCTTGTGAACTGTCTCCACCCACAATTTCTTTTATCCCAGTCAGCCCTTGATAAACAAACATACACACACATACACATTTCAGCTACTCTGGAGGGACTCCAACGCAACAGGCTGTAACTTCCGGTACGCACCGAGGCAACTTCTCCCGTTGCCGTAAAGCGAGGACTTTTCCGTGTAATCATGATTCAGACCGTATCTGTCCGGGACGAGGAAACGTGCCATAAGCATCTTCAGCCCTCTCATTTCTCTCTCTTGCGGCCTGAAACAGCCCCTCTTTGCTCCGATCAACAATAAATAAAGATTATTTTACACAAAGATGCAACACGCGCACCCACGGGCAAGCAACACAGCCCCCCCCTCGAGTTATCGGTCGCCTGGCGACGAGGGAGAGAAATCCCTAGATGGTGGTGAAACGGCGAATCGGAAGATCCTGGCGTGCGAAGGGTCAGGAGGCTAAGGGTGGCATTCTGGATTTGGAATGCCAGAATTCCAAGCACGTGAGGGAACCAAAGTCTGGATGGAGAACAGAATTCTGGAATGAGGTCTCGATCTCGTTGAAGCCTCCTGAGGTGGCTTAGAAGACCATCATCGACACAAGGTCCAATCCCTCGGGGGGGGGGGCGTCTCACCGAATCGTTTCGGCAAAGCGGACTATCCCCTCGTAAATGGGGCCGGAGGTGCACCTTCGGGCCTTCCCACGGGGCTTCCGTGTGACAGCGTGGCCCCCTCAGGCCCTCCTCCAGCTCTCGCACCCACGGGCGCGTGCGTGCGGGCGCCTCCCCGTTACACTTAGAGACAGCGGTAAGCGCGAGGCGTGCAATAGGGACGTGCGTTCTAAGGGGGTCGGTCGGCGGCGGGGGATCGGCGACAATCCTCCTCAAGGCACGGCGCCCCCCCCGTAGGTCCGGGTTGCGATCACACGTACGAGACAGTCGAGAGGGAGGATGAGGCACAGCTAAAGAAATTCACCCGTTCAGGTGTGAACGGCGAGGACGGGAATTCGGGTCTGTCTCTCTTGCTCTCTCTGCCTTGCCCCACAATCAGGGGGGGCGCCCCGTTCTGACCCACATCAGACCCTCCAGAGCAAGAGGTGGTTGGTGCTGTCATCCCGGCCGACGGTCTCGCTGCTGTTGGTGAGTCTGAAATCCTCGTAGCCGTCTCCGCCGCTGACCACCAGCATTTTGGACTTGGAAGGCCGGTGTCGTGTCGCATCCCGTTTGTCCAAGTCGCTCGATTTTTCCGCACCTGTACGGGGAAAGGGGTGTGGGTGTATGAGAGAGAGATGTAGTTGATCAAGACACAATTCTGCGCCGTGCTAGTCTAAATCTACCCAAGGAAAACCAAATGCACCGTAGGGGCAGCCCTCGACTCGCAGTCCATTTAGTGACCACTCAAAAGTTTGCAACGGCACTGAAAAAAACGCGACTGTTTAACCACCCAGTTAAATCTGGTGCGTTACGTGCCAAGACTTAGTTTGTATTCAGAAATCCTACAATATTTTAACTTCCTTCATTTTGGATTACTTTTTCAACTCTCTGTTCCCACCAATTTTTCATTATGAGCACATGATATTTTTTCCCCCCAGATGTTACAGTGAGGGATTTTTGTGACTACATCATTGTTTACAATCAGTTTCTGCACTTTTCTTGCACGAGCTGAGTATAAGACCGACATTATTATTGTGATTGGCTGCATAACCAGCCAGATGTTTAGATGAGATTTGGCACTCTTCTCCACCTACCGCAGTGGTTCTCAACCTGTGGGTCGGGACCCCATTTGGGGTCGAACGACCATTTCACGGGGGTCGCCAAACAATGCAGTCCGCCATTTTTTCCCCTTTTTCCTTAGCTGTGCCATTCCCTTTTATTCTATTGGCTTTTGAAAGCCAATAGAATAGATTCTCTTGAATAGAGTCTAATTCTATTGGCTTTCAAAAGCCAATAGGAATTGTCCAGGCTGTCTCTGCCCTGCTGAGCCCTGCCAAAAGTCCCATTCTGCAAACGGTGCTGCACCAGTTGAGTAGTCCTCGACTTACGACCGGTTGAGTAGTCCTCGACTTACGACCGGTTGGGGGTCGCGGCATTAAAAAGGTTGAGAACCACTGACCTACCGAGTCCTTCCCAAGGACCTGGAATAGGCAGAGGTTGTTACGTAATAATATTAAAGGAATCATTGATTTTTCACAGTTACGACCGTCGCAGTATTCCCCCTAGTCACATGATCAAAATTCGAAGGCTTGGCAATTGGCATGTACTTAGGATGGTTGCGGTGTCCCAGGGTCACATGATCCCCTTTGGCGAGCTTCTGACAAGCCAAAGTCACTGGGGGAAGCCAGATTCACTTAACAACCGTGTTACTGGCTTAAATGCAGTGATTTGCTTAACAACGGTGGCAAGGTCGTAAAATGGGGCAAAGCTCACTGAAGAACTGACTTGCTTAGCGGCAGAAATTTTGCCCTGAACGGTGGTTGTTAAATCAAGGATGACCTGTAACTTGAGATTTGCTAATTAGGAAGCTTCTATATTTAGGCAAGAAAAATAAAATGTACAGGTATAGTATAGGGGGTACCTTGCTCAATAGCAGTAACTGTGAGAGGGACCTTGGAGTCCTAGTGGACAATCACCTAAATAGGAGCCAGCCGTGTGCTGCAGCTGCCCAAAAGGCCAACACAGTGCTGGGCTGCATCAACAGAGGGATAGAATCAAGATCACATGAAGGGTTAATACCACTTTACAAGGCCTTGGTCAGGCCACCCTTGGAATCCGGCATCCAGTTTTGGTCACCACGATGTAAAAAAGATGTTGAGACTCTAGAAAGTGCAGAGAAGAGCAACAAAGACGATCAGGAGACTGGAGGCTGTGTAATTCTTAGAATAATGATTTCCACGCACATAATTCTTGATTGAATTTGCATGGCTAATTAAATAAAGAACTACTCAAGGGAAATATGTAAGAAAGATGCTGAGACTCTAGAAAGAGTACAGAGAAGAGCAACAAAGATGATCAGGGGACTGGAGGCTAAAGCATACGGTTGCTGGAACTGGATATGTCTAGTTTAACAAAGAGAAGGACGAGGGGGGACACGACAGTATTGTCCCAGTATCTCAGGGGCTGCCCCAAAGAAGAGGGAGCCAAGCTATTCTCCAAGGCGCCTGAAGGCAGGACAAGAAGTAACGGATAGAAACTCATCAAGGAGAGAAGCAACCTAGAACTAAGGAGAAACTTCCTGACAGTTAGAACAATTAACCAGTGGAACCACCTGCCTCCAGAAGCGGTGAATGCTCCAACACCGGAAGTTTTTAAGAAGAGACTGGACAGCCATTTGTCCGAAATGGTGTAAGGTTTCCTGCCTGAGCAAAAGGGGATCACGTGACCCCGGGACACTGTGACCATCATAACTATGAGTCATCTGAATTTTGATCCCGTCCCCATGAGGACACTGCACCAATCCTAAGTGTCAAAATGGTCCTAAGTCGTTTTTTTAGTGCCGTTGTAACTCTGAACAGTCACTAAGTGAGCTGTTGTAAGCTGAGGACTGCCTGTGACTTCCCTAGGCCTTGATGATTGGTTTTGGGGTCCCGTGTTTGTTTCCACACAACCGTTCAGGTCGTGCGTGCAAGTCACAAAAGTTTCCTTTTCCCCCGCCCCATCGTTCATTTCGGTCGCTCAGTGAGGCAGACATTAAACAAGGACTACTTGCACGGAATCAGCCTCTGATCTGCTCACCTGCTTCTCCTGGCAGGGGAAAAAGAACATTAAATCCCTCGGGCAGCTCGATGGACGTGAGGAATCGGACGTGACCGGTGTGGCCTTGGGACAGTCCAACGGGCAGAGGAGGGGTCTTCAAAGCAGCAGGGTTGCCGGTGATGGGGAGGGTCAACACGACCCCTGCGCTGGTGCCGATCCAGAGCAGATCTTTGCAGGCCAAGAGGGAGGTGATCCTCAAGCAAGCCGCCTTGTGTTGTCGGATGATGGCGTCTGATCCTACAGCCGGGGAGAGATGAAGGTTAAAAGTCTTTCGGTTCATTTTTCAGGTGGTCCTCAAAATCCAAGCCCAGGAAGGATGGTTTGTCTGGCCTTGGTTTCTCTTTCTGTCCGAAAAAATCAAGGGGGTGGCTATAACCACACGACTGAATGCAGCGCCTTTTTTTTTAAAAGGGTGGTTGCAAACACAATCGTGGCTTGTTTGTTCCATCTTTGTGGAGAGCCCCCAATGCTGTGTTGCTCTGCAGTCTGGAGAGATAAAAAATCCAGAGCAGCATTCGTTCATTCATACATACATACATACATCCATACATACAGCTTTGTTCCATATGCCATTCATTTGGTAAAGTCACAAAATTTGTTTTTCTCGCTATGTATATGTACACATATGAACTAGCGGTACTGTTTCTATGGGTCATATATATATGTGTATGTGGGTATATGAATTACTACTAGTACTAGTACTACTACTACTATTACTACTACTATTATTATTATTATTATTGCCAGCACAGGTGGACATCAACACCCAGAATTTCCCAGCCAGCAGAGATGGATTCTGAGTCCCAGAATTCTCCAGTCAGCACAGGTGGACCTCAACTCCCAGAATTCCCCAGTCAGCAGAGATGGACTCTGATTCCCAGAATTCCCCAGCCAGCAGAGATGGACTCTGATTCCCAGAATTCCCCAGCCAGCAGAGATGGATTCTGACTCCCAGAATTCTCCAGTCAGCACAGGTGGACCTCAACTCCCAGAATTCCCCAGTCAGCAGACATGGACTCTGATTCCCAGAATTCCCCAGCCAGCAGAGATGGACTCTGACTCCCAGAATTCCTCAGCCAGCAGAGATGGATTCTGACTCCCAGAATTCTCCAGTCAGCACAGATGGACATCAACTCCCAGAATTCTCCGGTCAGCAAAGATGGACTCTGACTCCTCTGACTCCCAGAATTCTCCAGGCAGCGTGCTGGTTGGGGAATTCTGGGAATTGAAGTCCACCCATCTTCAAGTGGCCAAGATTGAGAAACACTGTCTTAGGTGGAAGTGTTTCCAGCCACTTCATCTCATAAAGACACACACGCAGGCTCACACACAGACACACATACCGCAACCTCATGCCTGGCATCGGATCTCGAGGGCCTTACCTGCCAGCATCTTGTGGACCGGAGGGGTGACGTCCACTTCCGCCAACTGATCATAGCTGGCAGGATGATAAAGCCTGACGTGGGCACTGCCTTGGAGGCTGATCCAAATCCCGACGCTGGAGGTCACCAGGCACGTCACACTGCGGGTGCCGTCTTGCCCGATCACAAATGTGTGCTGGGAAGGAGAGCAGAGAGACCTGGTTGATTTCTCATGAAGATACTCGCGTCCTTTATGAGAACGTCTCAACAGAATATGGAATGGAATGGAACATGGAATAGAATAGAATAGAATAGAATAGAATAGAACAGAATAGAATAGAAATATAGAATAGAACAGAATAGAATAAATAAAATATAGAACAGGAATAGAATAGAATAGAACAGAATGGAATAGAATAAATAAAATATAGAACAGGAATAGAATAGAGTAGAATAGAATAGAAATTATAGAATAGAATAGAATAGAAAATATAGAATAGAATAGAATAGAATAGAATAGAACAAAATAGAATATGGAATGAGTATAGAGTAGAATAGAGTAGAATAATATAGAACAGAATATAGAACAGGGCAGAACAGAATAGAATAGAATAGAAATATAGAATAGAATAGAATAGAATAGAAATATAGAATAGAATAGAATAGAATAGAATATAGAACAGGAATAGAATAGAATAGAACAGAAAATATAGAATAAAATAGAAAATATAGAATAGAATAGAATAGAAAATATAGAATAGAATAGAAAATATAGAATAGAATAGAATAGAAATACAGAATAGAATAGAATAGAATAGAAAAAAAATGTAGAATAGAAAAGAAAATATAGAATAGAATAGAATAGAAGAGAAAATATAGAAGAGAATAGAATAGAAAATATAGAATAGAATAGAATAGAATAGAACAGAATAGAATATGGAATGAATATAGAGTAGAATAGAGTAGAATAATATAGAACAGAACAGAACAGAATATGGAATGGAATGGAATGGAATAGAATAGAATAGGATAAGGATAGGATAGGATAGAATAATAAAGTTGGAAGGGACCTTTGGAGGCCTTCTAGTCCAACCCCTATATCATTTCAGACAAACTGTTGGAGCATTTGTTTAGCCACCATTTCAAATTATGACAGCCGCTAGAATAAGTGAGTATATGGAGTCCTGGACTTACAACAGTTTGTTTAGTATCCGTTCAAAGTTACGACAACATTGAAAAAAGTGCCCTGGGACCGTTTTTCGCGCTTACGACCACTGCAGCACTCCTATAGTCATGTGATCAAAGTTCAGACACTTGGCAACTGACTCATATTTATGACGGTCACAGAGTCCCGGGTGTGTGTGCGTGTGTCATGTGAACGATCCCCTTTTATGATCTTCTGACAAGCAAAGTCAGTGGGGCAAGCCAGATTTGCTAGATAGTTGTGTCACTAACCTAACGATTCTCTTAACAATGGTGGCAAGGTTGTAAAGTGGGGCAAAATACATTTAACAACTGTCTTGCTTAGCAACTGAAATTTTGGGCTCAGTTTTGGTCGTAAGTTAAGGACTAGCTCAGGGGTAGGCAACCTTGGCTCTTTTATGACTCGTGGACTTCAACTCCCAGAATTCCTCAGCCAGCATGGGGGAACTAGGGCCCCTTCATGACTCGTGGACTTCAACTCCCAGAATTCCTCAGCCAGCACAGGTGAACTATGGCCCCTTCATGACTTGTGGACTTCAACTCTCAGAATTCCTCAGCCAGCATGGGGGAACCATGGCCCCTTCATGACTCACGGACTTCAACTCCCAGAATTCCTCAGTCAACATGGGGGAACTATGGCCCCTTCATGACTCGTGGACTTCAACTCCCAGAATTCCTCAGCCAGCATGGGGGAAACTATGGCCATGAGTCGTGGACTTCAACTCCCAGAATTCCTGAGCCAGCATGGGGGAACCATGGCCCCTTCATGACTCACGGACTTCAACTCCCAGAATTCCTCAGTCAACATGGGGGAACTATGGCCCCTTCATGACTCGTGGACTTCAACTCCCAGAATTCCTCAGCCAGCACAGGTGAGCTATGGTCATGACTCGTGGACTTCAACTCCCAGAATTCCTGAGCCAGCCATGCTGAGGGGAAAGGGCGAGGTTTCCAAGCTGAGCCATGCTGGCTGAGGAATTCTGGGAGTTGAAGTCCATGAGTCATAAAAGAGCCAAGGTTGCCTACCCCTGGACTAGCTGTACATGTTTCTCTCTCCAAGTCTTTGCTTTGTTGGGTGTCGTACCTGCAGACTCTTTCACTTCCCCTCCCAACAACAGGCACCAAAAGATCAAGCATGCAGGATGGGAAGATGGATCCTGCTCAACAACCTTGTATGTGTTATTTTAGAAGCCCGAAGTCAGCTATGGGCATGGGGTCTCCAACCCTATCACCACTGATCTCCTGGTTCCCCAAGATCCCTTGCAAAACCCTGGAGGAATCTGGTTGCAGGTATCCACCTGCTGTTGATGTTGCCTGCAGAAGCTGGTGGAGCTAGAATTGGTTCCTTCTTACCTCCTGAAGCAGCGCAGAAGTCTTGAGGATAACGATTCGGTTCTGGCATCCACACCAGAGCTTCCCGCCCACGGCCACCATCTTGGTTACGGGGCTGCCCGGAGAGCCCAACAAGAGAGATTTGGAGTTGTGAGAATCCCAAAAGCGTCCTGGAAAAAAGAAAGGAGATAGGCAAGCTGCGTTTTGCTTCTTCGTGGAAGACGCCTCGCTATTTGGGTGATGTGGTCGTAGGAGGAGGAGAGGGTGAACCTGGAGACGGGGTCAAAAGAGGGATCAGCCTGGAATCCCTAGTAGCCACAAAGGAGCTACTATGTTCAACCTCCCTTGAGTACAGTCAGCTAACTCCTAGCAGGTGTAACCTTGAGTTGAAAAGATTCCCTGTGCGTAGGCTTTATAGCAGTGGTTCTCAACCTTTTTAATGCCGCGACCCCCAACCGGTCATAAGTCGAGGACTACTCAACCGGTCATAAGTCGAGGACTACTCAACGGGTGCAGCCCCGTTTGCAGAATGAGACTTTTGGCGGGCTCAGCAGGGCAGAGACAGCCTGGACAATTCCTATTAGCTTTTGAAAGCCAATAGAATTAGACTCTATTCAAGAGAGTCTATTCTATTGGCTTTCAAAAGCCAATAGAATAAAAGGGAGTAGCACAGCTAAGGAAAAGGGGGGAAAAAATGGCGGACTGCGTTGTTTGGCGATCCCCGTGAAATGGTCGTTCGACCCCAAATGGGGTCCCGACCCACAGGTTGAGAACCACTGCCCTAGACCATTTCAGACAAACGGCTCTCCAGTCTCTTGGAATAGAAAAGAGTTGGAAGGGACCTTGGAGGTCATCTAGTCCAACCCCCTGCTCAGGCAGGAAACCCTATACCATTTCAGACAAATGGCTGTCTGAAATGGGAATAGGGTTCACACGTGCTTCCAATGTTGCAAGGTCACCTCTCTCCATCTGGTGTCCCCCCGCCCCCCCAGGGTTGTGGGACTGCCAGCCCCAACATTCTCAACCCATCCAGAACAGGAAAGCAGACGTGGCCAGGGCTTTGCTGGGTGGGGGTGATGGGAGGTGTAGTTCTGCAAGGGTGGGAGAAATAGGAGAAAATTATCCTGGGCCACGTTCGGAGCCAAAGCACCGGGGAAGGCAAGGTGTCCTTAAGTGGCAGGTATTTATATTCAAGCTTTTTACCTGCCTCTCTCTGATAGGCGACCAGTTCTCCATTGGCCAGAGACACGAACACCTGGTTATCAAGATACCTGTAGAAGGATAACAGTGGTTTTATCAAATCGATATGCTTCCCAACTTCCCTATAACGCAGGACAGTTCTATGCTATCCCACATTTTTTTCCCCCTCTCTAAAATAAATTACAATAATATTGAGGGGTGTGGAAAGGAACCACACACTTTACGTCAGATAAATCTGGGCCGCTCGGAAACCTATCCACACGTAATATGATGGTGGCCAGAGCAGCAGTTAAAAAAATAATTCATCTCCGTTGAGTCCTAAGCCTGGAGTGTGTTATCCCAAATACATTCTTAAATGCTTTTTATTTGCTGATCGGCTCTGATCCAGTCCCACAACTGAAATGGCAAAGGCTTAGAAAAAAATAAATAAATCATAGTCTCCTAGGGTTGGGACCTCGGAGATCACAGAAGCATAGACTCCTGGGGTGGGAAGTTGACCTTGGGGGTCACAGTATCATAGACTCCTGGGGCTGGAAGGAACCCTTGGGAAGTCAAGATCATAGATACTTAGGGTGGGAAAGGACCTTAGGAGTCACAGAAGCATAGTCTCCTAGGGTTGGGACCTCGGAGGTCACAGTAGCATAGTCTCCTAGGGTGGGAAGTTGACCTTGAAGATCACAGTATCATAGACTCTTGGGGCTGGAAGGAACCCTTGGAAGTCAAGATCATAGACACTTAGGGTGGGAAAGGACCTTAGGAGTCACAGAAGCATAGTCTCCTAGGGTTGGGACCTCAGAGGTCACAGAAGCACAGTCTCTTAAGGTGGGGAAGTTGACTTTGGAGGTCACAGTAGCATAGACTCCTGGGGCAGGAAGGAACCCGTGGAGGTCAAAATCATAGACTCTTAGGGTGGGAAAGGATCTTAGGAGTCACGGAAGCATAGTCTCCTAGGGTTGAGACCTCGGAGGTCACAGTAGCATAGACCTCTGGGGTGGGTAGTTGATCTCGGAGGTCACAGTATCATAGACTCCTGGGGCAGGAAGGAACCCTTGGAGGTCAAAATCATAGACTCTTAGGGAGGGAAAGGATCTTAGGAGTCACGGAAGCATAGTCTCCTAGGGTTGGGACCTCGGAGGTCACAGAAGCATAGTCTCTTAAGGTGGGGAAGTTGACCTTGGAGGTCATAGTAGCATAGACTCCTGGGGCTGGAAGGGACCTTGGAGGTCTTCTAGTCCAACCTCTGACCCAAGTTAGGAATCCTCAAAGCACACCAGCCAAATGGTTGTCCATTCTTGGCTTCACATCCTCCTGGAATGGAGGCCCCTAAAAGGTCAAGAGACAACCTGTGCATGGTTCATGGGAAGGAGAACCATTCAAGTCATGGAGCAGCCCATGCTTCCCTTCCTCCTCCCCCCTAGATCCAATCGTGATGGATGCTTCCCTTCCTCCACCCCCCCCCAGATCCAATTCGCTCGTCCCATGTTCAAAACATCTTCTAAACCAGGGGTCTTCCAACTTGGCCCTTTGATGACTTGTGGACTTCAACTCCCAGAATTCCTCAGCCAGGCACGCGTGCCTGGCTGAGGAATTCTGGGAGTTGAAGTCCACAAGTCCTCAAAGGGCCAAGTTGGAAGACCCCTGCTCTAAACTCTCCACCCTTCGCTAAATCTCTTTTTCGATTCATTCCTTTACCGTGGGCGGCAAAACTGGATTTCTCCTTAAACCGCACGGAATAGCAACCGGTCCAGCGTAGTGGGGCATGGGCTGTATGTGGTCAGTGCCCCCTAAATGTGCCTTGACACTTACAAAATGCAGGTGACGGAGGCCGAATGTTGCATCTTCAGGCTGTTCTTCCTGTTGCGAATGTTGTCTGAAGACTGATAGACGTGGATGCTGCAATCCAAAGGGGAGAGACGTGAGGTCCGGGTCCGGAGGCAAATCAAGGCAAAAAAGGGCACCGGGCTGATTTCACAGAGATGAGAGATGAAAAACTGTACTAGACTCATGGGGAGGAGGGGGGGGAGGAGGAGGAAGAAGAGGAGGAGCTGTGGGTTCGTTGGTGCTCTCTGAGCTTCGCTGGTTTCTTACAGACGTTTCATGACCCAACTAGGCAACACCATCAGTGTTAGAAGGAAGGAAGGAAGGAAGGAAGGAAGGAAGGAAGGAAGGAAGGAAGGAAGGAAGGAAGGAAGGAAGGAAGGAAGGAGGAGGAAGAGGAGGAGGTGGAGGAATGTGGGATCCTTGCTGCTCTCTGAGCTTCGCTGGTTTCTTACAGACGTTTCATGACCCAACTAGGCAACACCATCAGTGTTAGAAGGAAGGAAGGAAGGAAGGAAGGAAGGAAGGAAGGAAGGAAGGAAGGAAGGAAGGAAGGAAGGAAGGAAGGAAGGAAGGAAGAGCTGTGGGGTCCTTGCTGCTCTCTGACCTTGGCTGGTTTCTTGCAGATGTTTCATGACCCAACTAGGTAACACCCTCAGTGCTAGAAGGGAGGGGGGATTGTGGAGAAGGAGAGAGGAGGAGGAGGAGGAGGAGGAGGAAAAGGAGGAAGACTGTGGGGTCCTTGGTGCTCTCTGAGCTTGGCTGTTTCCTTGCAGACGTTTTGTGACCCAGCTAGGCAACACCATCAGTGCTAGAAGGAAGGAAGGAAGGAAGGAAGGAAGGAAGGAAGGAAGGAAGGAAGGAAGGAAGGAAGGAAGGAAGGAAGGAAGGAAGGAAGGAAGGAAGGAAGGAAGAGCTGTGGGATCCTTGCTGCTCTCTGAGCTTGGCTGGTTTCTTGCAGATGTTTCGTGACCCAACTAGGTAACACCCTCAGTGCTAGAAGGGAGTGGCCTTTGCTCTCATTTTACATACTAGTGGCTTGAAGACCCCTGGCTTAAGGCACTGTTTCTGGATGGCTGGGGAATGCTGGGAGTTGAAGTCCATCCACGCTGACAGGAATTGTAGGTGAAGCCCATCCATGCTGGCTGGGGAATTCTGGGAGTGGAAGGTCACAAGTCCTAACAGGGTCACGTTTGAAGACCCCTGGCTTAGGGAGCCTCTGTCTCGTCTGGACACTCAGGAGAAACGGGGGTACTGACACCGCCTGTTAGCCCCAAACCCCAAGAGATGCCAGGGTAGGGTCTCCTTACCAACCATCCTCGGTGCCCAGCCACATGGAGCTTTGATAGGCCTCGGGGTCCACACTGAGCAGGTCTTCCAGGCTGGCCCTGGTGAAGGAGCCTTGACTGGAGCGCCTCATAGCTCGGCCGTCCATGGGGCTCTCGCCGATCTGGTTCGGGGCGAAGGGGCGGCCGATGGGGAGGAAGCTACTGGGGTCCTGCTCCTCTTCCGAGCTGGTGGTCTCGGCCGTCACATCTTTGGAACTGGGGCTCTCCTCATCTGGCAAAAGAAAGAGGACCGCCAAATATAGGGGTTTCTCGACTCGCAAACATTTGCAAACCTATTTAAGGGGACAATCCCTTCGATAGGAGCCAGCCGTGTGCTGCAGCTGCCCCAAAAGGCCAACACAGTGCTGGGCTGCATCAACAGAGGGATAGAATGAAGATCAGGTGAAGGGTTAATACCACTTTACAAGGCCTTGGTAAGGCCACACCTGGAATACGGCATCCAATTTTGGTCACCACAATGTAAAAAAGATGCTGAGACTCTGGAAAGAGTGCAGAGAAGAGCAATAAAGATGATCGGGGGACTGGAGGCTAAAGCATATAAGGGACGGTTGCTGGAATTGGGAATGTTTAGTCCAGGGGGAGGCAACCTTGGCTCTTTTATGACTCGTGGACTTCAACTCCCAGAATTCCTGAGCCAGCACAATTGGCTCAGGAATTCTGGGAGTTGAAGTCCACGAGTCATAAAAGAGCCAAGGTTGCCTACCCCTGGTGTAGTCTAATGAAGAGAAGGACCAGGGGTGACATGATAGCAGTCTTCCAGTATCTCAGGGGCTGCCCCAAAGAAGAGGGAGTCAAGCTATTCTCCAAAGTGCCCGAAGGCAGGACAAGAAGCAATGGATGGAAACTAACCAAGGAGAGAAGCAACCTGGAACTAAGGAGAAATTTTCTGACAGTGAGGACAATTAACCAGTGGAACCACCTGCCTCCAGAAGCGGTGATTGCTCCAACACTGGAAGTTTTTAAGAAGAGATTGGACAACCATTTGTCTGAAATGGTACACGGTTTCCTGCCTGAGCAGGGGATTGGACTATATGACCTCCAAGGTCCCTTCCAACTCTATTATTCTATTCTATTCTATTCTATTCTATTCTATTCTATTCTATTCTATTCTATTCTATTCTATTCTATTCTATTCTATTCTATTCTATTCTACTCTTTTCTATTCTATTCTATTTATTCTATTCCTTTTCTATTCCTTTTCTATTCTATATTATTCATTCTATTCTATTCTTTTTTATTCTATTCTATTCCATATTTTATTCCATATTCTATTCTATTCTATTTTATTCTATTCTATTCAATCTGCCCTCCTTCCTTCCTTCCTTCCTTCCTTCCTTCCTTCCTTCCTTCCTTCCTTCCTTCCTTCGAAACACATCCAATTCTTTCAACCCTTCTTCATAAGATTTTGCTTCCAAGCCCATCACCATATTCCCTGCTCTTCTCTGCCCTTTTCCTGGCTTCTCATATTCAAGAGATTTTGGAAAACCCACTTCCTCCACGCTTTTATTCCAGAATGCAGGCGAGTTATTACAAGTCGCGTAAAACCCTTCTCCCAAACCCACAGTCCCTTCCTTGAAGTGGAGTTGTAACGTCCTAAATTTGCAGCTAGCACGTCCTCTGGCAGAAAAATCGGAGGAGTCAAGTCCCACCAACTTTAGCAGACATCAGCTTGGGAAAAATAGTTTATAGCTAAACAGGAAGTTATGCCTGGAGATTTTTTTTTTATGTGCTGCTATTTTTAAAAGGCTGTTATAATAAATGCTTCATTCTGTTTCAAAAGATTAGGACTGCCCCTTTTAATAAAAAAAATATTTGTTTTAGGAGGGAGCATTGTTATTTGGGATGATGGTTTATTCCAGTGCATTGTTTATTAATAGGATATCCTATCACACCATCTCTAGGCACAGCATTCATATAAACAATAACAAACCTCCCTGATAACAAATTCTCATTTGGTGCAGAATACGTCATATTATTCCGGTCTTGGTTCTAACAACGCTGTGATTCTCAAATGTGGATAAACAAGGGCAGCTTCCAGGGAGTAGAAATATTTGGACATTTTGCTAGGTAATAAAAGGCCTGTTTCTTAGGAACAGAGAGACAACTGAATTGTTTGTGCTCAAATGCTTCCATGCTGATTTATCAAGTACTTGCTGGAAAAAAAAAAGCTGGATTTTTTTAAAATGTTTATGAAAGCCACCAAGTCTTGGTAGAAGAAAACGGGCTGAAAAACAACAACTCCGTGTATGAGTTTTTGTGTGAGTATATGTGTGTGTTGAACGGGACTTTTGCAGTACAGGTAGTCCTCCATTTACCGCCACAATTGAGCCCAACAGTTTGGTTGTTAAGTGAGACGTATATTAATTTGGCTCCGTTTTATGACATTTCTTGCCACTGTTGTTAAGTGACTCACTGCAGGTGTTCAATTAGTGACACAGTTGTTAAGTGAATCTGGCTTTTTTTGCTAAAGGGGATCACGTGACACCCGGGGGCACTGGAACCATCATAAATATGAAGCGTCTGAATTTGGATCACGTGACCCCGGGACGTTGCAACTGTCATTAAGTATATGCCAGTTGCCAAGCGTCTGAATTTGGATCACGTGACCATAGGGATGCTCCAACGGTCGTAAGTGTGAAGAATGGTCGTGTCACTTTTTTTCAGTGCCGTTATAATGTGGAACGGTCACTAAATGAACGCCCTGTACAGGTCACAGTGTCCTCTTTTCCCAGAAACAGACAACTCACTGGTAAAGCTGGAGATGGTGGAGTGGCTTTGAAGGGTGCCAGAGGGACTGGGCGAGGACTCGTCGTCGGTGTCATCGCTGTCAAACGGGACGAGTTCCTGGCCAGCAGTGTCCATCGGCTCCAAGATCTCCAGAGAAGATCCAGAAATGGAGATGTGCAAACACGGTTGAGGGGCAGCCTCATCCAGGGTGGGGTTTGCCGGCTCCGAGGCTGGGCTGGCCAGAGAGACTGGATGTTCCCTGGGGAAGAAGGCGTTGGAAAATGAAAAGTGAGTCTGCAGGACATTATTACATGTTTAATTCTAGGTTTAATTTGCTTTGGGGTTCTGCTCTGTTCTATTTTATTTTCCATTCCATTCCATATTTTCTATTCTATTCTATTCTATTCTATTCTATTCTATTCTATATTCTATATTTTCTATTCTATTCTATTCCATATTTTCTATTCTATTCTATTCTATTCTATTCTATTCTATTCTATTCTATTCTATATTTTCTATTCTATTCCATTCCATTCCATATTTTCTATCTATTCTATTCCATTCCATATTTTCTATCTATTCTATTCCATTCCATATTTTCTATTCTATTCTATTCTATTCTATTCTATTCTATTCTATTCTATTCTATTCTATTCCATATTTTCTATTCTATTCTATTCTATTCTATATTTTCTATTCTATTCCATTCCATTCCATATTTTCTATCTATTCTATTCCATTCCATATTTTCTATTCTATTCTATTCTATTTTCTATTCTATATTCTATTCTATTCCATGTTTTCTATTCTATTCTATTCTATTCTATTCTATTCTATTCTATTCTATTCTATTCTTTCTATTCTATTCCATTCCATATTTTTTATTCTATTCTATTCTATTCTATTCTATTCTATTCCATTCTATTCTATTTTTTATTCTATTCTATTCTATTCTATTCATTCTATTCTATTCTATTCTATTCTATTCTATTTATTCTATTCTATTCTATTCTATATTTCTATTCCATTCATTCCATTCATTATTTTTCATTCTATCTTGTTTTTTTTTTTTTTTTTTGTCTTATTCTATACTCTTCACTATCATTCCATTCCATGTGTCCATACGTCTTCAATTCTATCTATTCATTCTATTCTATTCTATTCTATTCTATTCTATTCTATTCTATTCTATTCTATTCTATATTTTCTATTCTATTCCATTCCATTCCATTCTTTTGAGTCTACGCTATGCTACTCTATTCTACATAAATAAAGAAAACATGGCCCGTATATTATTTTTTTCTAAATCAATCAATTAATTAAAACAAAAACTCCCCACTGACCCCTCCTTCCTTCTGCAGCAGAACCCTGGCAGGTCCCCTAGAGGTTCCCACGCAGATGTGCCCAGAGGACGAGGGTGGTTGGCAGGGCTGGTACCTGTAGATCCTCTTGAGACCCGGCACGGAGGCGATGCACAAAATCCGGGCAGAGCAGACAGCGATGCAGGCCTCCACGATGGGCTCCTTCTTGATGCTGAGAAGACACACCTGCCCCACGTAGCCGTCGCTGTTGCAGACCCAGACTTCGTAGGCGTTCTCCGGGTTGTTGTGGCTGGGGGAGGCGCAGGAGAACTGGGGAGGGGGGAAGCAAAACAAGTCTCCCTTAAGGTCTTCCTTGGCAGCAGGCAAAAGAGTGGAGGGTTTCCTGCCCATGCCGTGTTTAAGCTAGAGAAGTGGTTCTCAACCTTTTTAATGCCGCGACCTCCAACCGGTCGTAAGTCAAGGACTACTCAACTGGTGCAGCACCGTTTGCAGAATGGGACTTTTGGCGGGCTCAGCAGGGCAGAGACAGCCTGGACAATTTCTATTGGCTTTTGAAAGCCAATGGAATTAGACTCTATTCAAGAGAGTCTATTCTATTGGCTTTCAAAAGCCAATAGAATAAAAGGGAGTAGCACAGCTAAGGAAAAGGGGGAAAAAATGGCGGACTGCATTGTTTGGCGACCCCCGCGAAATGGTCGTTCAACCCCAAATGGGGTCCCCACCCACAGGTTGAGAACCACTGACCTAGAGTTTCTCAACCGAAGATGGGTGGACTTCAACTCCCCGAATTCCTCAGCCGGCAATTGAATTCTGGGAGTTGAAGTCCATCAATCTTAAAAAGGATGGGAAACACCACTCTAAGCCAGGGGTCTTTTTAGGACTTGTGGACTTCAACTCCCAGAATTCCTCAGCCAGGCAGAATTCTGGGAGTCGAAGTCCAGAAGTCATAAAAGGGCCATGCCTGAATACCCCTGACATAATGTGAGGGGGAAATAATGCTCAGAAAGAGCTAAACTAATGTTTCTTAACCTCGGCCATTTTAAGAGGTGTGGACTTCAACTCCCAGAATTCCTCAGCCAGCATGAGGGAATATGGCCTCTTCATGACTCGGGGACTTCAACTCCCAGAATTCCTAAGGCAGCATAGGGGAACTATGGCCCCTTCATGACTCGTGGACTTCAACTTCCAGAATTCCTGAGCCAGCATGGGGGAACTTTGGCCCCTTCATGACTTGTGGAATTTCAACTCCCAGAATTCCTCAGCCAGCATGGGGAAACTATGGCCCCTTCATGACTCGTGGACTTCAACTCCCAGAATTCTTGAGCCAGCGTGCTCAGTCCACAAGTCATAAAAGGGCCAAGTTTGAAGACCCCTGATATAGGTGGTCAAAAAGGGTGATCCCAGGATCCCAGGACAATGCAACTGTCATAAAATACACGTTAGGTGCAAGCCCTTGAATTTTGTCCACATGACCACAGAGATGCTGCTACAACAATTGTAAAGGCAAAAAACTGGCCGTAAGTCACTTTTTTTTTTTTTACTGCCAATGTAACTTCACAGTCACTAAACGAACGGTTGAAAGTCAAGATGTAGGTCTATACTCAAACTTTTACATTCTACTTGAACAGCCAGTTCTGAGATTTAGGGATACAGAAGCAAAATTAGTCGTGAAGGAGCTACGTCATTCAATGGCAGCGCAATAAATCCAGGGAGTTGCATTAAAGGGTCTTTTAAACACTTGGCCCATGAAAAGAGTAACTTCTTAACATACAACCAATTGTCTGAAATGGTCTAGGGTTTCCTGCTTGAGCAGGGGGTTGGACTAGATGACCTCCAAGGTGCCTTCCAACTCTATTATTTTATTTTATTTTAATTTTCTGTTCTGTTCTGTTCTATTCTATTCTAACCTATTCTATAATTCTATTCTATTTTATCCCATTCCATTACATATTTTCTATTCTATTCTATTCTATTCTATTCTATTCTATTCTATTCTATTCTATTCTATTCTATTCTATTCTATTCTAACCTATTCTATAATTCTATTCTATTCTATTCTATTCTATTCTATTCTATTCTATCCCATTCCATTACATATTTTCTATTCTATTCCATTCCATTCTATTCAATTCTATTCCATTCTGTATTTCTATTCTGTATTTCTATTCTATTCTATTCTATTCTGTATTTCTATTCTATATTTCTATTCTATTCTAACCTACGGTATTCTATTCTAACCTATTCTATAATTCTATTCTATTCTATCCCATTCCATTCCATATTTTCTATTCCATTCCATTCCATTCCATTCTATTCTATTCTAGTCTGTTATTCTACTCTACTCTACTCTACTCTACTCTACTCTACTCCACTCCACTCCACTCCACTCCACTCCACTCTACTCTACTCTACTCCACTCCACTCCACTCCACTCCATTCTACTGCAGAGCCTGTAGCAAGTGCGAGAAAAGAACAACCTTGGGTTGGATCGAAAAAGCTTCCACCTACTTGCATCCCGCTCCGTGTTTTCATAATGGGAATTGCCTTCAGGAACTCAGGATCCAGACAGTTTTTGTTAGAAGCTGGATAATTAAAGAGAAATAAATAAACACTGCAGCCTTAGCTTGAGACGTAACTCCGATTTTCAGTTTTACAATACATTTTATAATTGCATAAAGAATCAGTATTTCTTCATTTTTATCCCGCCTTTATTATTTTTTTATATATAACTCAAGTCGGTGAACATAGCTAATACTCCTTCTTCTTCCTGTTTTCCCCACAACATCAACCCTGTGAGGTGGGCTGGGCTGAAAGAGGGACTGGCCCATAATCCACCAGCCGGCTTTCATGCCTAAGGCAGAACTAGAACTCACCGTCTTCTGGTGATTGGCCCAAAGTTCCCTAGCCAATTTCATGCCTAAGCTGGGACTAGAACTCACAACATCCTGGTGATTGGCCCAAAGACACCCAGCAGGCTTTCATGTCTAAGGCGGGACTAGAACTCACCGTCTCCTGGTGATTGGCCCAAAGTCACTCAGATGGCTTTCATGCCTAAGGAGGGACTAGAACTCACAGTCTCCTGGTAATTGGCCCAAAGACACCCAGCAGGCTTTCATGTCTAAGGCGGGACTAGAACTCACTGTCTCCTGGTGATTGGCAGACTCACCCATCTGCTTTCATGCCTAAGGTGGGATTAAACTCCCCGTCTCCTGGTGATTGGCCCAAAGTCCCCCAGCCGATTTCATGCATAAGGGCAGGACTTGAACTCGGCTTCACCTGGTTTCCAGCCTGATGCCTTAACCACCACACCAAACTGTCTCTCCATAATATATTAGAAAACCACAATGCCCATGGTATTTTAGCTCATTTCTTCACTCATTTGATTTTTCCATGCATATTTTTACCTTTTTCTCTTTTTTACATGTTTTTATCTCTTCTCGTTTCTAGTCTTCCTTTAAAGTATAATTTAAAAAAAAACTCTTAGCAAACTTGTAGCATCATCCAATCAGTTGCTGATGCCCCTGTGCAGTGTCACAGCGAAAGCACAACATGAATTGGAATAGATTAAAAGCTTTCCCGCGCCTTGTCAACCCTGCAGATCGCCCTATTGAAAACCCAAAAAAAATCTCATAAAGAGTGCACGAGCAACTAGATTTGGCTTCCAGGAATTAAGACTGAATCCAATCCCTGTTCACAAAAAATCAGCATGTCGCGTAGCAGACAACAGGCTAATTTTCACAGCGAGGGGCTAACTTTCTACCTATGGGGTGTGCAGCTAAGAAGGAGCACCGAGTTGGCTATTTAGATTTGAATTCAGACTGAATCCAATCCCTGTTCATAGAAAATCAGCAAGTCAGGGCGCAGACGGCAGGCTCATTTTCACAGCGAGGAGCTAGCTTCCTACCTGCGGGGTGTGCAGCTAAGAGGGAGCATCGAAAATCAGCATATCGGGGAGCAGACGACAGGCTAATTTTCACAGTGTGGGTCTAGCTTTCGACCTGCGGGGTGCACAGGTAAAAAAGAGGAATGAACTGGCTATTTAGATTTGAATTCAGATTGAATCCAATCCTTGTTCATAGAAAATCAGCATGTCAGGGCGCAGACAACAGGCTCATTTTCACAGTGAGGGGCTAGCTTTCTACCTGCGGGGTGCACAGGTAAAAAAGAGGAATGAACTGGCTATTTAGATTTGAATTCAGACTGAATCCAATCCCTGTGCACAGAAAATCAGCATGTCAGGGAGCAGACGGCCAGTTCATTTTCACAATGAGGGGCTAACTTTCTACCTGCGGGGTGTGCAGCTAAGAAGGAGCACCGAGTTGGCTATTTAGATTTGAATTCAGACTGAATCCAATCCCTGTTCATAGAAAATCAGCATGTCAGGGCGCAGACAACAGGCTAATTTTCACAGTGAGGGGCTAGCTTTCTACCTGCGGGGTGCACAGATAGAAAGGAGGAATGAACTGGCTATTTAGGTTTGAATTAAGACTGAATCCAAACCCTGTTCATAGAAAATCAGCACGCCAGGGAGCAGACAGACAGCTAATTTTCACAGTGAGGGGCTAGCTTTCTACCTGCGGGGTGTGCAGCTAAGAAGGAGCACTGAGTTGGCTATTTAGGTTTCAATTCAGACTGAATCCAATCCCTGTGCACAGAAAATCAGCACGTCAGGGAGCAGACAACAGGCTCATTTTCATAGTGAGGGGCTAGCTTTCTACCTGCGGGGTGTGCAGCTAAGAAGGAGCACCAAGTTGGCTATTTAGATTTGAATTCAGACTGAATCCAATCCCTGTTCATAGAAAATCAGCATGTCAGGGTGCAGACAACAGGCTCATTTTCACAGTGAGGGGCTAGCTTTCTACCTGCGGGGTGCGCCGGTAAGAAAGAGCATTGAGTTTGCTCTAGAAAGCACCGCCGTTCATTCTAAGCGGTGCCAAACCACCCAAAGAGGCTACCTAGCTTCTTCTTCGCGTCCTCGAAGCCTTGTTCAAAACTGTGCCGGGCATCCGGATTGGGAAATTCATAAATGTGAGAGTCGGTGCTGTCGGATTTGGTGACGGTCAGCTCCATCTTGTTGGGCGGGAAGGAGAGGCTGAAGGACACCGACTGCTTCTCCGTCAGTTCCCGGTGGATGGCGGCCATTAAATCCTTGATGACGTCATCCAGGGTCTGAAGAACAGAGCAGAGATCAGAACGGGGAGCGTGGGAATCTCAAAAACTTGCGGAAAATCTGAGCATTGCTGGGAAAAAAAAACCCCGAAAAAACAAAAAACAAAACAAAAAAGGCCCAATTTTCCTCTAGCAGACCAAAAGAATCACAACTGGGCTTTTGGGGTGGGTCATGTTAACCTAAAAACGTGACCCACACCCACACACACACAAAAGCCCGGTTGTCGTTCTACAGGCAGTCCTCAATTTACAACAATTGAGCCCGAAACGAATGCGGCTAAGTGAAAAATTGGTTAAGCGGGTTTTGCCCCGTGTTTCGATTTTTCTCGTCACCTTTGTTGCAAAAGGTGTCCTTTTTTTTTCCAAGAGGGAACTGGACTTTCTTGTTTTTCTTCGAAGACGCTTCACTTCTCATCCAAAGAAGCTTCTTCAGCTCCGACTGAATGGTGGGGAACGGAAGGATTTATACTCCTTGCAGAAAAACTGGTCATTTGCCTTCTTTTAGAGGGTCGTTGAGGCCACTTGGAGGCTTATCTGTGTCCTCGGGGTCACCCGAGTGGTGCAAATGGGTGTGGAGCCTTTTCTTTGAAGATGTTTCTCTTCTCATCCAAGAAGCTTCTTCAGTTCTGACTGGATGGTGGGGGAACGGAAGGATTTATACTCCTTGCAGAAAAACTGGTCATTTGCCTTCTTTTAGAGGGTCGTTGAGGCCACTTGGAGGCTTATCTGTGTCCTCGGGGTCACCCGAGTGGTGCAAATGGGTGTGGAGCCTTTTCTTTGAAGATGTTTCTCTTCTCATCCAAGAAGCTTCTTCAGTTCTGACTGGATGGTGGGGGAAGGGAAGGATTTATACTCCTTGCAGAAAAATTGGTCATTTGCATTCTTTTAGAGAGCCGTTGAGGCCACTGGGAGGGTTTTTTTTCCTGTCCTGAGTGATGCAAATGGGTAGTCTATCTATCTCCAATCTGCAACACAGTCCTTTCCACAGT